CCCACAGACACTACCAAGCAAGGACAGGCGAGGGACACACATGCAGCATCCTACGGCTCACCTTGAGCATTTCAGGGACAAAAGGGGAACATCCTGGCCATCTTGCTCTCTTTTCCAGACCAGGGCACACAGTCCAAGAAAAGCTGCTCCTACCCCACTAAAGAAACTCAACACTTCTCAGAGCATGGACATTCACTTTCTGACAACTGAGGGACTGGCCTAAATCACTGCACTTAGCAACTTCCTTGACAGCTGCTTGCTTAGTATAAATAGGATTAAGTAGCATGCTGCAGGACAGCTTCTGAGAGTTTCTTCTCACACCAGAAATCTTCCTCTCACCAGTGGCTGTCACTTCCCTCTCTGCCCTTCATGTGGCCACTGTAGTTCCCTTCCTCAGTGAGCTGCCTTCCAGAAACAGCTGTGTCCTTGCTTCCAGAGCTGGCAGCAGCCTTTGAATGACACAGGTCCTTCCAGGACAGGAGATGGATCACCACTAATGCAGCCATGCGTGTACAAGTACGTTCTCTTCTGACCACTACACAATCAGGACTTCTTCATTTGTTCTTCTGTGATTAAGCACTTTGATTAAAAGTCCCTTTAAAAGGCTAAGATTTTTTTACTTGTACTGGAGGGACAGCATGGTGTCTGAATTAAATCAGGTTTTAGAAGACAGGCCAGTTTGTTCCAGTCACATAAGGTTTTGTGAAAGGACTGCCAGAAACTGCACTCAGTGAAGCTGACAAGCCACAGCCACACAGTCCATCCCACAGGCCAAAGCCACTGCTGCCTACAGAACTTTGAAAATGCCCATCACATCAGCCTATACTGAATAAGGAAAAACACAGATTCTGTGACAGTTCAGTAACCACGTGTCTCAGTCACCCTGAAGAGGCATTTCTCCATCCTCCAGCTGCATTTTCACTAAAAGGAAGTTGCTCTCAGAAGAGAGAGCTCAGCCTGGCATTCCCAACACCTGCTGACAGCAGACTCCCTACTCACAAGGAGTTGCTGCTTCACAGGGATTAATTATCCTGTACAAGGGAAGGCTGTCCTGCAACCTGCCACACTCCTGTGGTTGATGCCTATTTGAAACTTCAAATCTTTAAGCCACCACAGCACCTCATTAGGCTCCTGCCTAATGGTGCATTGGCTGCTCCAAAGCCTCTACTCCTTCAGGCAGTACAGCTGTTCCCTGTTTGCATAAAGGGGCCTCCAGCCAAGTGCAGGGGCTGTTCAGGGGAGTTCAGGTTACTCTGGTCCCTACTGTGGTGGAAACATCACTGGCTGCAGCAGCTAATCTCACCTGCCTCTCTTGGGCCAGGGGTTGGAGAGGGAAAAGCCCTACTCAGGCACCTCTGCTTCTTTTCTCAGTCATTGGTTCACGTACCAACAATTCAAATTCACCACAGCATTCCTGAAGTGAAACCACTGTAGCAGAGATGTGAACTGCTTTGATGAAACAGGCTGCAGGAGTTCAGAGCAGGCCCTTTTCACAAGGCTGGGGGAAAGCAGCAGCACAGTGTTCACACAGAGAAGTCACTGCATGCAAATGCCCACCAGAGCCATTCCAAAACACCTCTTACAAGGTAACACAGTAAGGAGAGATCCCAGCTACTGTGAGGGATTTTTCAAAAGCCTTCAGGTTTCAAATTGTTCTGCAAGCCAACACCTTCCCTGCCAGGCTGATGTACTCACAAATCCTGCCCCATCAACATGAGGAAACACATAAAAACAAGCAATGGCTCACTCTAAATACTTTAATATGGTCCGTGGTGATGAGTAGGATGATGCTCAGAACTGGATCACCTGGCCCTGTAAGAAGCAAGAGACACAGTGAGTTTACTCACCACTGAGTACTGCCCCCCCTTCTCAGCCACTCAGAGCACACAAACCCACCTTTCTCTTCTTGTCTCCTCCCAGTTCAAAGTGCTTGCACCTCTTAATTGCCAGCATCCTCTTGGACCTGCAGTTGGGCTCCACACACTCCAGCCTCAGCACAATCTTCTTGGTGGTCTTGGCCTGGGAGGAGGAGCAGAGTGTTTTAATGAACCAAACATCCCCAAGCAGACAAACTGCTGCTCTCAGAAAACCTTGTTACCTGCACTCCTGAAGGCTCAGCAGTTTGTTCTCCTAAAGTGTAAAGAGAAACTGCCAACAGATGCTCCCTCCATTGAAAACAAGAAGGCACTTAGGGATCAGTAAGGGAATACAGTGGATCTGTATCTTTAAAATAAAGGACAGTGGCAAAAGCATTCGGTGGGGCAGGGCTGGTCTCTGCAGGGATCAGCCCTGCTGGAAAAAGTTCGTGCCAGGGAACACAGGAACAGGCACTTGTACACTGTGGGAGAACAGACTGGCAGTGCTCAGGAGAAGCCCAGCAGAGGACTGGGCAGAAGGGACACCTGGAAGCAAAATGACTGACAAACTTTGGAAGGAGCAGTGACACAAGGGGCTCAATGCAGACCCACAGCTCCTGGAAGCGAGACGAAACCCAAAAAAGACTGCAGTGGGAAGAATTCAAAGCTGTGAGGGTGCTGTAGCAGCTGGACAGGGCTGCAGCCACCAGCTAAAAACCTCAGCCAATCATCCATACAATGCTGACTGGGAAAAACCAGAAATGGGGATGGCAGTGTACTGGTGCAGGCTGCCAAGAGTGCAGCTGCTTGGTGCACTCTGCTTGCAGAAGCACTTTCTGAGAGGTCTCCCCACTTCCTGGCACAAAGTCAACTTGAAAACCTGCTGCCTCATTTTTTCCTTCCTGCTGGAAGTGTTCCTGTACATCTCCAGCAGGACACCAGGGCTTTCCAGCACCAAGCTCTAGGAGCACAACTAAACAGTTCACACAAAACAACAAATTGACCCACTGGGTTTTGCTTCCCTGCTGCAAACCACCACAGGTTTTTTCCTGCCCCAGCTCCCTGGCAGGAACTCACAGATGCACTGAGGGAAAACATGCTGCATGACTGCAGTGCCAGGTACCCACACTGACGAGGAAGGGTGACAGCAGCAGGTTTCTGCAGCTCATGAGTAACAGGATGCACTGCTGCCCTTCCACTGCTGCTCTGGGGCTCTCAGGAAAGGCCCAGCACAGCAGCTCTCATTCCCTGGCTCAGCAGCATGGATTTCCCTGGAGACAGCAGGCTGTGAGAAAATGATGCTGTGTTCTGCAGTACTCCCAGGAGCTGCAAACACTTGGCTCCCATCCCCTTGTCAGTGAAGGCAGCCTCACAAACCCAGCAAAAAGTTTCAGTGATAAACTACTGGCACTTCCAAGGACATTAGGAAAGCAAGCAGAAGGCTCCTTTCCCTTGGCCATACCCTCCCCTTGGGCAAGCAATGAAGAAAACACTCCTTCTTTTTGCAAGTATCCTTCCCAGCAAGACCCCACTCCCCTGCAGAACCTGCTCTGCAAACACCCCTGCAAATGAGGGACAGTGGAAAGTGTTCTTGCTCATGACAAGAACATTGGAACAAGATGATCTTTAAGGTCCCTTCCCACCCAAACCATTCCACGAGTCTGTGCTGTGGAGGGGGAGCTCGCACTGCCAGCATGGACCTGCCCTAACATAGGGCAGGGCACAAGGCTGAGGAATCCTCCTCCAGCTGGGCACCTGAGAAGTCTCCTGTCCTTGTCCCAGGAGCAGCACTCATTCACCTTTTTACGGAAGATGGGCTTGGTCTGGCCCCCATATCCACTCTGCTTCCGATCGTAGCGCCTCTTCCCTGTGGGAAGAGATGGCTCTGGTCAGGCAACAACTCAGGAGGTGCTGCAAGCACAACTGGTGCTTCCTAAATCCCACCAGGTTTAGGATCCAGCCTGCCCCTGCACAGCCCACCAGCACCAGCATCCCCTCCTCAGCCACCATCCTCGTGCTGTCCCCCAGAGCGGACCCTTCCCCTCACTGTGCAAAGCCAACAGACACGGAGGTCGAGGGACCCAATTTATTCAGAGTTCTGCTGGCTGGTAAATCCTCAAAGCCAGCACACAAAGGGCCAAAACCAGGAGCATATTTATACATTTTGTTCAGGTGATACTTGCATCATTAACCCACATCACTTCTGGCTGGGCTGCCACCGGGTTCACTTTCTCTCGCCTCGATCTGAAGGTCCTTTTCAACTCCCAGCCCGTGCTCAGTGGGCAGGGCCCTCCCTCGGGGCAGGCAGGCTGGGCTCCAGAGCTGTGCCTCCACATCAGAACGAGCCAAGTTCACCCAGAGCACACCATCTCCAGATTAGTTAATTTCTACACCTCGACCGCCCCAAACTGGTTTGGACATGTCATTGGTCTTTTTATTGCTTTAGTTCCACATCCTTTAGCTTAATCTGTTTTTCTCCCCCCACAGACACACACCCGCTCCCAACCCACCCCCCTCGTCCAGGGCAGCACCGCCGGGGCCGTGCCCGTCCCTACCCTGGGCGTACAGCGAGTCCTTCCCCTTCTTGTACTGCGTGACCTTGTGCGGCTGGTGCTTCCCGCACTTCTTGCAGTAGGTCCGGCGGGTTTTCGGCACGTTCACCTGGGGCGGAGAAAGCTCGGTCAGGGGCGCGGGACACACCACAAACCACACCACACGACCTGACGCATCCCGCTCCAAGGCCCCGCGCCCGCCCTGCCCCACCCCACGCCCTGCGCCGCCATCGCGGGCCTGCGGCGCCCCCGCGCCCGTCTGGCCGCCGGCAAAGCAGCCGGCGGGGCCGGCGGGGCCGACAGAGCCCGTCCCGGCCCGTCTCCGGGGCGGATGGCGGCGGATGGAACCCGGCCCAGCCCCGCACTCACCATCTTGGCGGCGGCGGCCCAGAAAGAAGGCCTGGCCCGGAAGCGGAAGTAGTTGGGAGTGGGAGAACCATAGAGAGGAGGGGGCAGGGAGGGCACAAGGCGTGAGCGCCCCCTGCCGCTGGGAGGAGAGCAGGGCGGCAGGTTGAGGAGGTCGAGGGGTGCGGGGGGCGGATTGAGGCTGGGGGGTGACTGAGGTGGCTGGGGTTGGGGTCTGTGACCATGAGGGGTGTTGGGGGTGACTGAGGTGTGGGTCCGCAGCTGGGCAGGGTGACTGATGAGGATCTGTGGCTGTAGGGGATGCTGGAATAAGGGTCCGGGGGATCTGTGGGATGCAGGTGATGTCCAGCTGTTAGAAAGATAAATTATGTGTTGGTAGCGTTGCCTTGCTAAGGTTTAGGGCTTGACAGGACTCAGTGATCTCAGACCCAGGGGGAGGTTAACAAAGCTTGGGGAGAAGGGTGTGCTATAGTGGACACAAAGAATGCAGAATTTATGGACCACAAGGACACCTGGCAGAACTCCCAAGATAAGGACAAAACTAATCAAGCTGACTCAGCAACTGTGCTGGAATCAGCTCTAATGGGGTAACAGGTAATTCTGGAAGGGGGAGATCATGGCCACCAACTCACAGACCACTAACCCAAAAGAAGAGAAAGACTGAGCATGTGGGCTAATTAGCATAAGAAGCGAGTGAATCATTAACCAATAGAAGATAGAATATTAATTAATAAGAGAACGATGTAACTTGTAGCCAATAAAGGTCAATGCCTTCATTTGCTAAAATGTTTATAAACAGTGAAAAGTTTTGCAAGTCACTATGCCGGCTTTGTGGATTTGCCACCTGGACCCCTGTCTGCTCAGAACTGTAAATAAACCACATTTCTCAGCTCTGTGTGGGGATCAGCCTTGTGCACAGAGGGTGAAAGAACCCCTTTTGGGACAACATGGGGACGGGCAGCCCAGAGGAGCCCGGCACTGCCCACAGCCCGGGGCAGGCTCTGGCTATGGCTGGTGGCCCAGTAGCCCCAGGGTGATATCCCCATCGCCTGCAGGAGGAAACACAGATGCTGCCTTTGAGTCAGAAACCAGAAAAAGGGGAACTGAAAGGGTGGGGTTGGCCGGCCCCGTCCTTCCTCCCTCCCTGCACGGCAGGCCCACCGTCCCTCCCGCTCCCGCCGCCACAGCCACCCCAACCCGAACCCGCCGGGGTGGGCGCGGGGCAGCGGCAGCACCAGAGCCCGGCTGGCCGGAGCGGCAGGAGGGCTGGTGAGTGCACCCAGGATGTGGCAGGAGCACCAGGGTGACGGTGCCCCGGGAGCCAGCAGGGCCCTGTTGGTGTGGCCGTGGCAGAGCCATGGTGGCGGGAGGCTCCATGTGGCCCATCCCGGCGGCCTCGCACCTCTGTTGGCCTCCTCATGGTGCTGGGGGTGGGAGAGCCGTGCCAGGCACAGGCCATGTGGTGCCGAGTTGTGGGTAAGCCAAGCTGGGAAGGCTCAGCCTTGTCCCCACGGCCTGAGCGGTTCCAAGCAGGCGGCATCTGGGCACGGGCCGGGGGGCCAGGGGTGCCTCAGGGCAGGGGGGTGCGGTACTGTGGGGTGCCAGGGGCTGCAGGGTGCACTGGAGCAGGGGGGCACAGCACTACATGCGTGTCAGGGGCCCCAGGGGTGCTCCAGAGCAGCGGGTTGGGGTGCTGACAGTGTCTGCGGCCATTCCTTGCTTGTGCTTTTGGCAGCAGGTATGCTGGGGTGCAGCTCTGGGTTTGTTCATCCCTCTCCTGTGCAGGAGGATTCCTCCTCTGTCCCTCCTACCCATCGATTTTTACACCCTCCAGGCTCAGCCTGAAACGTGGGGGCTGTGACACCCTGTCACCCTTCCTTCTTGTCTCAAGTGTGCCAGCCCCTCGCCAGCCCCCCATCCACCAGTGGCTCAGCTCCTCGGCAGGAATCGGGCAGGGGGCACAGTTTGCCTGTGCAGGGGTGGCCCCAGGACTGTGGTGGAGGGGCCAGCAGTGAGTGCCAGGCTGGGGGTGGTCTCAGAGCACGCTTGGCTGAGGTGTGAGTGTGGCAGGAAGTCCCATTAGCTGGAAGGGCACAGGACATGTTTCCACCCACCCACTCACCACCTCAGCTGTCTGAGCATGGCAGTGATGGCTGAGAGGGTGAGTCCTATGGGGCACCCACCACCCCAAAGGACAGGAAGGGACAGAGCAGGTCTGGCCCACCTCTGAGCCTCCCCCACAGGAGATGGGCTGTGGGGAGCAGGGGAGAAAAACAGCTTCTCCCAGTTTGCCCTCCAAAGCTGTGTTTGCAGGAGAAAAAAGGGAACAAGGTGTAGGTGAAGGGGAAGCAGGGAGTGTAGGTGGTCAGGGCAGGAGACATGGAGCAGGGCTCCAGGGGATCACAGTTCAGCAGTGGCTCCACAGAGTTCACTCAACAGCTCCCCATTAGGTCCAGACTGGAGTCAGGTGTTGGTCACAGCCCACAGCTTCAGCCACAGGGCTCTGGGGGCTGCTGGAACCATCTGGATGTCACAGGTCCTGGGTACAGCATGGAGGGACAGAGTGAGATGGATGGGCTTCTCAAAGAGGTGGGCTGGGATGATTTACAGCCTCTGAAGGCAGAGCAGCAGTGGGATGCAGGGCAGCAGTGGGATGCAGGGCTCTCATCTGAGCCCTTTCCTGCCCCAGCCTGCCCTGGAGAGGCTCAGGACAGCTTTGATGAGGAGGATTTGGGGAGGATTAAACCCCTCTGGCTGCTGGCCAGAGGAAGCTCTTGAAGTCTGGCCTCCAACAAGTGCTGCTCACAGGGGAGGAAAGGGGGTTGAGCATTGTCCCTGCACTCCTGCAGGGTCCATGGACACAGAGGTGAAGGATGACTTTAGGGCTACTCCGTGAACTTGACAGCCCAGCACATGACTATTGAGGGCCAGGACCTACCCAGCACATTTTAGGGGTTGGCCTCCCGTGACCACCCCTTGTGCGCTGCCAAGTCAGCACGTCCCCAGCACAGAGTGCCTGCGGTGGGGCAGGAGGAAACGGCCCACGCAAGTGCACATGCACACTGTTGGAGGGGAGGAGGCGCCTGCGGGGTGTCACTGCTCGGGCTCCACACTCCTCCCCAGGATACGCTGCTCACAGCTTCCCAGTCTCCCTCCCTCTCCGGCTGCCTGTCCCTCTGCACACCCTTCAAGCCTTCGAGCAGAAGCCATCCGGGTGGTGGCTTGGTCTGCAGCCTGCTGTGGGAGAGGGGCCAGGAGAGGTCACACCGCAAATAACCCACACTGACCTGCCCACACCCCTCTGTGGCCAGTTCCCCCCGCCAGCGACCCTGCCTGCCCTTTGGGGAGGAAGAAGAGGGCACCTGATGGAGGTCCAGCCGTTTTTGGGCTGAGCAAGTGCCCTGTCAGTGTTGTCTTGCCCACAGCAACCCCACGAGCACAGCACGGAGGAGGCCGGGGGGTGACATGGCCAGTGTCCTCCTGGAGAGCATCTTCCTGAAGCGCTCGCAGCAGAAAAAGAAAACTTCTCCCCTCAACTTCAAGAAGCGCCTGTTCCTGCTGACAGAGAGCAAGCTGTCCTACTACGAGTATGACTTTGAGCGGGGGGTGAGTCTGCAGCCACAGGAGCTGTGCCAGCCCAAGGGGTGGTTGGATGGGGACATGGGTTGGTTTGAGTCTCTCCAGGTCTCCCTTTGGTGACTGTTTGAGCCAAGCCTGTCTCTTGCAGCGCCGGGGCAGTAAGAAGGGCTCTGTGGACATTGAGAAGATCACCTGCGTGGAGATGGTGGCACCTGAGAACAACCCTCCCCCCGAGCGGCAGGTCCCGGTGAGGAGGGTCCCAGCGTTCCCTGCATCTGTCCCCCTGTCCCCTCACTGGGAGAATAGGGAGAGTTTCCCTTCCCTGGGGCGGTGGCAGTGGGGAACAGCCCTGCTTTGCATGGGGCACTCTGCCCATACATTCCAGGAGTCCGGCTTGATGCAGAGCAAGGGGATGCCAAAGGCTGTGGGTCCCAGGGGAGGTGCCAGAAGCCAAGCACAGGATGACGATGTCCATCTCTGCCTCTCTCTTCCAGAGGAAAGGAGAGGATTACAACAACATGGAGCAGATCTCAATCATCGAACGGTTCCCCTACCCCTTCCAGGTGAGTCCTCACTGCACTCCCTTTGCTGGGCCGTGCAGGGTGTCGGGGGGAGGACCCCAGAGGGACCTGGGGTCAAACATGGCATCACTGCCCCAGGACCAGCTGTCACTCAGCTGTTTGGGGACACCCTGCTGCTGCCCACACTGCCAGGTGAGCTGCTTTGAGCCCAAGGCAGCTCTATTTAAGGAGACTGCTTAGATGGAAACCTGCTTCTGAGCTCTGTCCTGCTCCTCTCATTCCCCTGGCTGATGCTGGAGGGATGCTGTCTGCCGGCTGCCTGCTCAGCCTCAGCCCAGCTGCCTGCCCTGCTGGCACCCAGTGCGGCCCCCAGCACACCGAAAAGTCAGAGAAGGAAGTGGAAAAATCTCAGGGGAGGGGGCTTATTTATAACTTCTTTGTCACGGTCCCAAGAGCAGCGTGCAGGGCCAGCAGGCACCAGCACGGGCTTGCCCTGCACCGGCTGCTCGGGGTGGCCACCATCCCTGGCTCACCCTGTGGCCCAGGGTGCTGAGGTGTGGGGTCCTGCAGGTGGTCTATGACGAAGGGCCCCTCTACATCTTCTCCCCAACGGAGGAGCTCCGCAAGCGCTGGATCCATCAGCTGAAGAGCGGTGAGTCTGGGGGCTCTGCAGCTCCCTTGTGGAGCAAACACGGGCACTCAGCTGTGCCTGTGCTGACCCAGAGCACTAGGCTTCCAGGGGCTTGCTGGCTCATGGTTATGTATTCCCATGCCCGTGGAGGAGGGAGCTGCTCCTGCCCCGGGGTGGGGGGGGTGGACACTCACCTCTGTCACCCTCTAACTTCTGCAGCACCACAGCTAGCTCAGCTGAGGCTTCTTGTCCTCTCACAAACCTGCTCCAAAGTAGCTCAGGCAGGCTCAGAAGTGACTGGGGGCAAGAGGAAACAGCAGATGTGGCCACAGCTGTACTGCCTTGCAAGGGGAGAGTTGGGTGCTTTAGGAAACACGGACAACAAGCCTGCTGGGAGCCAGGGAGTGTCTTTCCCAACCCATCCTGAGCCTTGCTCAGAGCTAATGCTCAGCTATGTTAGTGCTGCCTTGCCAAGCTGCGAGTGTGTTGAAGCAGCATTGCCAAGGGGCTTGGGTCAGCCAAAATCTGCTGGAGCTGCCTGTATGTGTGTCTTGTGGGGGAGTGTGTGTATCTTTCTGTGGCTTTGTGCTGGTGGGGTGAGATTAGCTGCCTGAATTGACACAGGGAAGTTGGCTCGAGCAAGGCGGAAGAGCAGGCTGATAACAGGGAAGTCAGTTATCTCACAAGAGCCCTGACAGGCAGCCAGCCCTCTCCCCACTTCCCTGCTCTGGGAGGAGGGTTGTTGTGGCAGCTGAAGTCAGTGTAAAATCCACAAGGAAAAGGGGAGAGAAAATGCTGGCCTTTTGCTGCTGGGATGCCCTCATCCAGAAAAGGGGCTCTCTGCACCCCATGGAGCTGCTGTGGGCCAGCCCTGTGCTGCCTTGGTGTTTAGGCACATCCAGTCATCCCTCTAGACTGGGGAGAAGCATGAGGAAGCTGTTTGGTGCCTGCCTGGCAAGGGAGTGGTGTCCTAGCAAGGAAAGTCTCCAAGCAGGCAGGGTATGGTAGCAGTGCCCTCCTCTCCCCATGATAATCCAGGCACAGCACTGGCTTCCTCCCCACTTCTCAAAAATAGGGCTCAAAAGAGCTGTGAACCATGGGCCTGGGGGGTTGCTGGATATTTCAGCTGGCAGGAGGGCCAGTCCCAGCAGGACTCCCTTTGCAGAGCTGCTCAAGAGCTTTGATCAAATCTGAGAGGCAAGCCTGGCCCTTCCTGAGCTGGGGGCTTTGTGGCACAGGGATCGATCCATAGCCACAGCTCTGGAATGAGGGAAACGAACTGAGGGACCTGGGCAGCAGCGCCACAGGGGACTGTGTCAGTAACACAGCTGAGGGTGGAATGATTTAATAGGGCTGCCTGTCTGCATTCAGGGAGCAGAGAGGTCTCCACAGGAGGCCGAGGACACAGCCCTGGGTCACACACATCTCCCCTCCTCTGCCACAGTGATTCGGTACAACAGCGACCTGGTTCAGAAGTATCACCCCTGCTTCTGGATCGATGGCCAGTACCTGTGCTGCTCCCAGACTGCCAAGAATGCCATGGGCTGCCAAATTCTGGAGAGCAGGAATGGCAGTAAGACACTGGGCACCCTCCTATTGCCTCGATCCCCCCCCTCGGGGACCACTGCAGCACAGTGCTGGGGATCTCTTCTCACCTTAGTCCCTCCTCTGTTCTGAAGGTTTAAAAACTGGGCGGTCGCATCGCAAGACAAAGAAGCCTCTTCCCCCAACTCCTGAGGAGGACCAGGTAAGGGCCAGCCTCAGCATGTGGGTTGGCTCCAAGGTGTTTGAGAAAAGGTCTGCCTGGTAAAAGCCAACATGTCCAATGACTGCTCAGAGATGTACAGGACTCGGCTCTGGGGACCGATGGCAAGGTGGTGTCCTAAAGGAGAAGGAGCTTGAAGCAGGGGATGGAACTCAAAGGCCTGTAGGAAAGTCAAATGATCTCAATTCTGAGGTTCCCTGGGGGAGCTGGGAGGATAAAGCCCTAATGTAGGCTGGAGGAGTCATGGGTTAAGTCAAAACATAGGGAGAAAACACTTACCTTTTGTGAAGGCATGAAGAAATATTGTGATAAAAAGTGCTGAAGGAGACACATGTGGGAGCTGAGACAAACGCTGCGTTTAGCTGGCCTGAGCCCACTGCCCTGCCAGGGCTGGGGAGGGTCTCTCCTGGTGTCTGCCAGCCTCACCACATCCCACACTCCCCCTCTCTGTGGGAAGATGGTGATGAAGCCTCTGCCTCGCGAGCCGGCCCCCAGCACAGCGGGTGAGATGAAGAAGGTGGTGGCCCTCTACAACTACCAGCCGATGAACGCGCAGGACCTGCAGCTGCAGAAGGGCGAGGAGTACTTCATCCTGGAGGAGAGCCACCTGCCCTGGTGGAAAGCCCGAGACAAGAATGGGTAAGAGCTCCCACTGCCCTGGCACTTGGCCTGGTGCCCAGGCACTGGTGGGCAAACACATCCCTGCCTGCCCACCCGTGGCCTCCCCAGGGAGGAGGGTGAGGGAAGCTGAAGCAGGCTGGGTTATCAGCCCTGCCCAGACATGAACAAAGATGAGTTTGCACCAAGGTTTTTAAGCCCATTTCTACTCAGCCTTCTGGGACAGGAAGACCCCATCCCCTTGGCCTCCTCCATCAGTGTGTAACCAGCCCCTTTTCTCCTACAGGAGGGAAGGATACATCCCCAGCAACTACGTCACTGAAACCAGCAATTCCCTGGAGATCTTTGAGTAAGAGAAGGCACAGGGGCCTGGCAAGTTGCACTTGGTTGGAGACTTTTTCCATTCAGTTTTTCCATTCAGTTCTGCTAACCCAGCCTGGCTGGGTCATTCTCCCTCTCGCACACCCTTTGAAAGCCTCCAGCCCTGTGGCAGCCCCATGGTGCTCTCTGCACCACCTCTCCTGGCTGGACCAGGGTCAGACTGGGCTGGGGACAGTGCTGGCTGGGATTTCCCTGATGGCTGTGTCCCTGTTCCAGGTGGTACTCAAAGAATATCACTCGGAGCCAAGCAGAGCAACTACTGAAACAGGAGGTAAGTGTTGCCTCCTGAGCCTGGGTCTGTTCTACACACCAGCCCTCCATGGGCTGTTCTCACATTGTGTCCAGCATGGGACCAACTCTGGCTTGTGCTGGGAGGGAGTGTTGCCCCAACAGCCCCAAGAATCGTCTCTATCCCAATGTGACCTCCCCTGGGCAGTCACTTCAGGAGGTGACCCCAGAGGCAGGAACTGGATTTAGGACTCCTCTGACTCACTGCACCTTCTCCAGCCATGCTGTGATCTTCACGCACTTCAAGTCTTGCCTGTTACAGTCACACCTCCCAACAACCACCCAGTGCCTTTTCCCCCTTCTGTTTTAGGGTAAGGAAGGAGGCTTCATCGTCCGAGACTCCACCAGCAAGACAGGGAAATACACTGTCTCTGTCTATGCCAAGTCCTCTGTGTAAGTGGATCCCACAACAGCTTGTTCCTCCCTCAGAGGGCTGCCCCAGGCACCGCTCACCCTCTGCCTGTCCTCCCCATGCCACTGACCCTACATACTCTCTCTCCAGAGACCCCCAGGGTACGATCCGCCACTACGTCGTGTGCTGCACCCCCCAGAACCAGTATTATCTGGCAGAAAAGCACCTGTTCAACAGCATCCCAGAGCTCATCACATACCACCAGCACAACTCTGCAGGTCAGTGTTTGGGAGACAGAGTGAAGCCAGCAGTGTTTTTACTGACACCACGGTACCCTCACCTTCCTGTGCTGAAGGCAGGAGGCTCGTGTTCCCTGTTGGAATGTGGCAGGTAAGCCTAGTGTGGCAATCCATGTTTTTGTTTTTCAGGGCTCATATCCAGACTGAAGTACCCCGTGTCCCAGCACCAGAAAAGTGCTCCTTCCACAGCTGGCCTTGGCTATGGTAAGCCAGGCTGGGCTGGCTGCAGGGTCTGTCAGCAACTGGCAACTGGCAGCAACTTCCCGGGGCTGGGATCCTGGCTGTCCCATGGCAGCAGGGCTCATAGCATTCCCAGGAATCACTTCTCTACACTCCCTTGCTCTCTGGCGGCAGTATTGACCCACAATCTACCTTGCTCCCCATCCCACGGAGCAACAGGTCTCAGATTCTTCTGTGGATGTTTTTGTGGATGGTTTTTCAGGGAGCAAAAGCTCGTGAGCTTTTCTTGGCCATGCTAGACCAGATGGCTGGGAGCACCGTGTGGAGAGGTCACCTGCAGCCACATTATGCTCACACTCTGTTCTAGGGTCATGGGAGATCGACCCCAAGGATCTGACCTTCCTGAAGGAACTCGGCACGGGGCAGTTTGGAGTGGTGAAGTACGGGAAGTGGAGGGGCCAGTACGACGTCGCCATCAAGATGATCAGGGAGGGCTCCATGTCAGAGGATGAGTTTATAGACGAAGCCAAAGTCATGATGTAAGTGGTGAGCACAGTGCAGGTCAGTGCTGGGCACACCTTGGCAGAGTGGCTGCACTCCTGGGTGGTGTCAGGGACAGTCCTGGGCAGTGCCACACTCTGCAAAATGCATCTGAGACTTTGTGCTGATTCCTTAGTGAGTTTTTCCGCTGTCAGCTGGGTCTGGAGCACCTTCCCTTCCCAAACGCTCTTTATTCACAGGTGCTTCCTTTGCTGCTTGGCCTTCTAGATGCTCAGAATTGCCCTTGTCCCCAACACAGGAACCTGTCTCATGAGAAGCTGGTGCAGCTCTACGGGGTCTGCACTAAGCAGCGTCCCATCTTCATCATCACGGAGTACATGGCCAACGGCTGCCTCCTGAACTTCCTGAGGGAAACTCGGCAGCGGTTCCAGCCTGCAGAGCTGCTGGAGATGTGCAAGGATGTCTGTGAAGCTATGGAGTACCTGGAATCCAAGCAGTTCCTGCACCGAGACCTGGTAGGGCTGTGGCTGAAGGGCACATATTCAGCTCAGCAACAGCCACAGTGTGTCCTGGACAGGGTCCAGATAGTTCATCAATACGAGGAGAAGCAGCTCTGCAGCTTCCTCTGCAGAACACCCCTCTAAGCTTCCCTGCCCACCCACGGGCAGGATGCTCTGCAGTCCCTTCCCTGCAGGCAGGAAGAGATTGCAGAAAGGGCAGGACTAAGTAGTTTTCCAGGCGATGTGAAATGCATCTGTGGCTGGGGCAGGGTTTGTGTTCGGCAGCACAGGCAGCATCACCGGCTCAGACATGAAAAGAGACCTCCTCTAAACCCCCATGAAAACCTGGGCCTGCAGTTTGTCAGGCTTTGGGCTGGCATTGCCAACTGGCCATCTTGCCATACCTGATCTCCTGGTGCTGCTTTGTTCAGGGAAAATCCCACGAGGGAAGTCGCCCCTCCACAGATAAACAGGATGCTTGGAGGCCTCTTTTGCTCTCTTGGCTGATGACTTTGTAGCTTGCCCCCACCCAGGTGAACTTACATGACAAAGTGAAGTGAAGTGTTAAGTGGGTGGGGATGAGATGAAGTTCAGCTGGTACAGGGGAATGGGAGAGGCAATAGCAGGTAGGAGTAATTGCCTCCATCTCTCTGTTCACAGGCTGCTCGAAACTGTTTGGTGAATGACCAAGGAATTGTGAAAGTATCAGATTTTGGTCTTTCCAGGTCTGGTAGACGTATCTGTGTCACTTTTCTGTCTCAATCCCCCATCTCCTCCTTCAGTCTATTCTACACTTTGGTCTTTGCTCCCAACATCCTCCAGCTCTGCTTTCCCATTGTCTTCTCCTGTCTTTCCATTTCATCTGCCCAGCTAAAGCTTCCACCTCTTCACTTTCCACTGTCCCTTTCTTACTCACTCCAGCCCTTTCCCCCTCCTCTTTGCATCTTCTTTCCCCCACCTCTAGTCTCCTGGCTGCAGCTTTCTCCCCACATCCCCTTTTTGCTGTGCCTCTGTGCCACCCTATCCCTTCCCCAATCTGCACTAGCACACACTTGTTTGCAAAGGGAGATTTTTGCCTGCTGAAACCCATGCTGACTGAAACCCCTGGTCACTCTGAGAGCTGCCCATTCCTTTCGGGCTTGGTGGGTTGCGTGGAGGAGTGAAATGGGAAAACCAAGGCAGGCACCCTGATCCATTTATCTGCTGCAGGTACGTTCTAGATGACGAATATACAAGTTCCATGGGGTCCAAGTTTCCAGTGCGGTGGTCTCCTCCTGAGGTGCTTCTGTACAGCAAGTTCAGCAGCAAGTCTGACGTCTGGTCCTTTGGTAAGAGCATGGAATTAATGACTTGGAGGTCGGGAAGAGCACCCCAACAGCAGCGAACCCCCCTGCAAACCAGGGTCAGGCGCAGGTGCTCCCACGCCATGAGCTCTCCCTGCCATTCCCTCCAACAGGAGTTCTGATGTGGGAAGTTTACTCCCTGGGGAAGATGCCTTACGAGAGGTTTAACAACAGCGAGACAACAGAGCACGTCATCCAAGGCCTGCGTCTGTACCGGCCGCAGGCGGCCTCGGAGCGGGTCTACGCCATCATGTACAGCTGCTGGCACGAGGTGAGTGAATCCCACCCCCAGAGACCCCCCGGTGGGTGACGGGGCTCCCCGGGGTGCAGGGGCAGACCTGGTTCATCACCGCTCCCCTCTCACCCGGCAGAAGGCTGAGGAGCGCCCCACCTTCACCGCGCTGCTGGGCAGCATCCTGGACATCGCCGACGAGGAGTGCTGACCGTGGGCACCGCCCGCTGAGCCCTGCCCAGCGCTGGCACTGCCCGCCCGGACAGACCCGTGTGCCGGGCGGCACCGCGGCACCACTGTCATGGACACGGCACAGGGGAGCCGGGGGCCAGGGGGAGCCCATGGGTGCCCATGGAACTCTACCAGTGTCCCAGAGCTCCATCAGCGCCCCGGAGCTCCATCACTGCCTTGGAGCTCCATAACATCCCTAGAACTCCATCACCACCCTGGAATTCCATCACCGCCTTGGAACTCCCATCACTGCCCTGGAGCTCCATCACATCCCTGGAGCTCCACCACATCCCCGGAGCTCCATCACTGCCCCAGAACTCCATCACATCCCCAGACCTCTGTGAAATCCCTGGAGCTCCATCACATCTCCAGAACTCTACCACCGCCCTGGAGCTCAATCACATCCCCGGAGCTCCATCGCACCCCCGGAGCCCCATCCCACTCTCCCCCAGCTCATGGACAATAAACTCCCCCGTCCCGTCCGGGTTGCGCGGGTCCTCCCGGCCGGCAGGGGGCGCGCGCGGCGCGGGGCGCACGCGCGGCGCGGGCGGAAGGGGCGGGCGCGGCACCGGCGGCACGTGAAGGTCGCGGCGCGGCGGCACCGGGAGGGACCGGGGGGACACCGCGGGGACACCGGGGGGCTCCGGGACCGCCATGGACTCGCCGTCCGGCGCCGGGCTGGGCGGCGCCGACCCGCAGCTCCAGCGCTTCATCGAGGTGGAGACGCAGAAGCAGCGCTTCCAGCAGCTGGTGCACCAGATGACCGAGCTGTGCTGGGTACGGGCGGGGCGCGGGCGGCTTCGGGGACACGGCCGCGCTGGTGGGGCAGAAGGGCTGGGAGGCCGCGCAGAGCTGTGTGCCCGGGGAGAGGAGGGGGAGGCTGATGGGGACACAATGGAGCCGCCGTGGGAGCGGTCCCGGGCCCCGTGAGCACAGGGAGAGAGGGAGCGGGGGGGTGGGGGGAAGCTCTAGGTGGGGTGGGGTCAGATGCGCCCGAGAGGATGAGGATCCCGGGGCGATGGGGACCCTGAAGAGATGAGGATCCCGAGGAGATGAGGATCTGAGAGGATAGAGACCCCCAGGGGGTGAGGACCCCGAGGGGATGAGGACCCCGAGGGGATGGGGACCCCAAGGGGATGGGGAGCCCGAGGGGATGAGGATGCCGGGATGATGAGGACCCCAAGGGGATGAGGATCCTAGGAGGACGAGGATCCCAAGCAGGGGGGTGACACCATCGCGTCCAAGGGCCGGTGATGCCCGGGGACATGGCCCCGGTGCAGGGAGGGGCAGGGGGTGTAAGGGTCAGGCTGCGGTGCCCCCAGGACCAACGGGCCCCCACTGTGTGCAGGAGAAGTGCATGGACAAGCCGGGCCCGAAGCTGGACAGCCGGGCCGAGACGTGCTTCGTGAACTGCGTGGAGCGTTTCATCGACACCAGCCAGTTCATCCTGAACCGGCTGGAGCAGACACAGAAGTCCAAATCGGCCTTCTCGGAGAGCCTGTCCGACTGAGCTGGACCCAGCCCCCGCCAGGCCGGGCCTGGCCCAGGCCCACTCCTCCCAAAGGAGCCAAGATCAGCTCAGGGGGTTAGGATTTAATTAAATGTCATCTCGGGGAAGCTGCAGCCAGATGAGAGCCCACACCAGAGACACGGACGCTCCACGCCGGGGTGATGTGCCGCTCCCGGTGGCTGCCTTTGTGCTGGGACCCTGTGCTTGGGACGTGCCCCCTCAGCTGAGGAGAGGGGTGGTGATGCTCATTCCATGGGTGTTTCCAGTGCTGATGTGAAGCTGGGCTCTGGGTGAGGCCAGCCTGTGGTTGCTGCCTTAAACAGTGCTGCAGAGACCAGCCCTCCTGGGTACGTGCTGACATCCCCCCGGGCACCATCCCAGGCTGGGACAGGCACCTGAGCCAGAAGAGCTCCTTGGGAACAGTGATCATCCCAGGCAGGGTCACCGCTGGAAAATACTGTCAGGCTTCTGTAGGTAAATCATTCATATGCCCAAGTGACCAATTTTCACACTGCAGCACAACTCTGTCGATGCTGACTTGCTCCATTAACTGCTTTCCCTGGGTAAATGTAATAAATAATAACTGGGTCAATTTTTAACATGAGATTCTCCTTTGTTCAGGTAGATCACAGCTGAGAATGGAAAATCTGGCCTTGTTGTCACTCCTCCTCCATCCCAGTGATCCTGTTTGTTGTAAAATTAATAGGAAGAGGGCATAACTGCCTTCTGGCTAGAAGGTTTTTTTTCCGAATTGTGATTTGTTGCTGAATTAATTTGGTCCCATGAATCAAACCTGTTTCTGGGAGAGTCTGTGGCCTTTCCCCTTCTTCCCTAAAGGTTTAACAGCTCCTGCTGTCCCGTAGTTTCTTTAGAGAGACTGAAAGCAGGAAATAACTAACCAGCTGCTTTATCACCTCGTGCACTTTTACCTGTGGAGGTCGCTGGTAGGAGGCCTGTGGGTGTGTCTTCTGGACCTCTGCCCCCAGGACACAAAGAGGAGCTTCTAACTGGAAAAACAACCAACAACTGATCCGCTCTCTGGGAAGGCAGCACAGCATTTCAGCAGTGTTTACGTGCAGTGTGGCTCTGGGAAGCCTGGAGTGACACTGACAGTGGCCTGGAGCTCTGCACAGGAGCCTGGTCAAGCAGTTCTGCACACATCCCATTGCAGGAGGGGCTGGACAGCACCTGTGAGTGGCTTGTGGCCAGCAAGCCTTCCTGGGAACAAATTCAGGATGTGTTGAACAGCTGTGCTGATATAAACCCACATCAGTGAGGACACAGCTGTCTAGTTATCTTTCAGAAACTTACCTCAATAGCTAAGGACTAGATTCCCAGACTAAGCGATTCCCTCTCCTGCCCTAACTTGAATTTCTCTGGAGCATTCACAGAGTTCTTCCTACCCCTGTGATTCTTCACACCTTTCAGCTGGCCCAGCTCTTGGTACAAATGTATCACTCACCACTTGGGAACTGAACAGATCAGTTTTTAATAGAATACAGTAAGCAGGTGCTTCATCAACCTGCACAGCAGATGTTGCATGAAGAGGTTGGTCCCTCTGAAGAGCCACAGCAGCATGTGGCAGCACCACTGAAGTTTCCCAGTTTGGGCTGTATTCTGTTCTTGGATGTGAATCTGTAAATAAATTCTAGCAGAGTGAGCAAAACAAGTACTCGACAGAGGAATCTTTAATTATTACTATTCTGTGTGTGTCACCTTTCAAGCCAGACATCCATCTTCTCTCTGCGTAGCCTTAGCACCATGTTAGATCATTTTGTAGCTGTTAATCCTGTTTTAAAAAAACGCTGTGAGGCATCCCCAGAGGTGTGGTCTGCCATGCAGGGTTACCACTGTGTTAGTGCTGCAGGTCTCTCTGCACAGCCAGGTTCTGGGTCCTGATGAGGGCGGATCAATTCTTCACGTAAAAGAACAGTGAAGAAGCACAGGATCCAAGGAACTGGGCGCTTCCCAGGGCTCCTGTCTGGAGCCACAGGAGGCTGCTGGCTCTGCCAGACTCCTGTCAGTGGCACATCACCCATGTGGCACCTGGGACAGGCAGAGGGTGACTGCCACGTCCTGCTAGTGCAGCAGCAGCTGAGGCTTGGCAGTGGGAGCTTTCACTTCTCCTCCTCTGTGCTCTGAGAACCTTTGTCCTCTGAGGGCAGCAGAGGCTGGTGCTGACAGGACTGGTGTCTGTCTGCACTGCTCCATGGGGGATGTAGGTCTGCCCTGCCTGGCTGCAGGAAGAGGGGCAGGAGGCTGGGAGTGAAGGGCATGTCCCTGAAGGCGTGCAGGAGGAAGATGCCAGACACGATGGTGAGGAAGCCGCTGATGGAGCCAACGACGTTGTCCAGCACCATGTGCTGCCACTCCTTGAAGAGGATGGTGGAGCACGTCATGACTGCTGTGGTGAACAGCACATAGTAAACGGGTGTGACCACAGATGTGTTGAAAATGTCCAAGGCTTTGTTCAGGTAGTTGATCTGGATGCTGATGCAGATCACCAGGCACACCAGGAGCACCCAGCCCAGTGGCTCTTTCAGGACTGGCTTCCCAGAAAACAGTTCTTTGAGGGCAATGCCCAGGCCTTTGACGCAGGATACGGACAGTGAGCCAATGGCAGAGCAGACCAAAACATAAACCAGCACGTTGCTCTGTCCATAACGGGGTCCAGCCACAAAGATAAGCAGAAGGGAGCTCACCAGGACACAAACAGCAAATGCAATGAATCCTTGGGGAAAGAATGAAAGAGCTCTGTCAGAACACAGTGACAGATGTAACTGGACAGCAAGCAGCGACAGAGGATGGGGTAACTGCCCCATCAGTCTGTCTTTTGGGCCTCCATCTAAAGGGAATGGCGTTGGGAAGCAGAGTCAGTCTGCAGCCTGAGCAAAGCTGCAGAGCCAGCAGCAGCTCTTTACAGTGCAATCACAAGTCAGGCTGTCAGATATAGCCCATGCTGGTAGTGGCAGGGGCACAGCCAGGCTCCAGGGCACTAGCAGAGGTGGGAGGCTTGTTGAGCAGTTCTGCAGGAGGCCCAGGAGGGTGGCAGAAGGCTTGGGAAGCCCTGGCTGAACTCTGGAGACTGTGGTGTGATAAAAAGGAAAGTGCCACATAACAGGAGTGCGAGGCCCTGCCAAGTGTTCCTTCTAATGAGCAGCAGCATCTACCTGTTACTCTGCTTTGCTCTTCTGCCTGTGCTTCCTTTCTCCATGTCTTGTGGCTTATTCTGCCATTTGTGCTGTTGCCCACATCAAAGCCTTGCAACTTGATTTACCCTCTGACATGAAGCACCAGGACTACAAGATCTTGGATGTAACTCATTGAATCCATTCATCTTTGCCTGAAGGTCCTCTTCTACTTTCCCTCAGCCACACCACTGCCACTCTTGTGTCCAGGAATTCCCTCTCCTATCCTGGCACTGCCACAGGCCAACCCCTTCTGCTGACAACTGCCCCTAATTCACCTGCTCTTCACTTTTTGCATCTATAACTCATAGACAGTTCAAAAAAAGCCCACTTGGTAACTGCTAATGATTCCAGTTGTGTCTGCAGGACAAGAAACAGCTCCATTACCATTTAGTTCAGTCTAGCCAAGTTGTGTCCCACCTTCTACTGTCAGTTTTGAGCCTGAAGTTGACAGGACCCCTTTTATTTTAGTACCTGGATCTTTCAGCTTCTCTGCCATTGACTCCAGGCTGGAAACCTCTTCTTCCTGCGGAGCATGGATCACCATCACAGTGGAGCCCAGGATACTCAGGATGCAGCCAATCTTCCCATGAACATTCAGCTGCTCATTGAGGAAGGTGGAAGACAGAACTGCACTGAAAGATAGTAAGAAAAAACCCACTCAAAACTAATTAAGGCAAGAGATGGGAGTACCTGAGAGAAGAGAGGAAGGAAAGCAGAGCACCTGCTTTCGTCCCTCAGGGGTAGTAGGTGAGGTGAGGGTGTTTCTGAGGCTGCTTACCTAACAAGGACACTTAGAGCACCCAATGGAGTTACCAGTGTTGCAGGGGCAAAGGCATAGGCAGCAAAATTTGCAGCTTCTCCAACTCCCACTGGAAGAGAAATTCTGTTGGGTGAGCATCGAAGTAGGAGCAATTCACCATAATACAAGTTTGGGTGTAGTCAGAGAAGCCTCAGTTTCCACCTGAGCATCCTGTGTTTCTCTGAGGTATATCATGCAACCAGGAAAGAACAGCACCAGCAAGAACAACCAGAAGCCCCCCACACATTCTCTTGGGAAGGGAAGGCTCAGTGGAATGCATGGTGATCCTTAGTCACATGGGCCTATACAGCAAGCAGCAACCATGGGAAACTATTGCCACAACAGCCACAAAGCTGAAAGGAGTTTGTATTTCTAAGAGGTGTTCTTCTCCTGGAACTGCTTTTACAGCTTTTTAAAGGGTAAATCAAGTACAGTTGGTTCTTAACATTGAAAAGTGTAAAGTGGAGCTGCTGAAATTGCTGTAGCATCAAACAGTGCTGGATGTTCTGTTATCACAACATTCTCTGTGCAGGCCACTTCAGAAGCACTCAACCCAACTCAGCTAGACCAGCTCCTCAGGTCCTGCTTAGCAGAGAAACCTGGTAATGCACGAGACTTAAGGATATTTTAGAGTTAAAATTAGATCAACATCATCCTCAGACACTTGGATAAAAATCAAGCAAACAATGATCATCTTAATAAAACATGAAAGGGGCTGGAAACAACCATAAACACTCCTAAAAGAGAAGGCTGTGGAGTGACCTAATTGTGGCCTTCCAGTACCTAAAGAGAATTGGAGAGAGACTGTTTACAAGGGCATGTAGTGACAGCATATGGGGGAATGGCTTCCAACTGGCAGAGAGCAGGTTTACATTAGATATTAGGGAGACATCCTTTACTGCGAGGGAGTGTCCATGGCCAGGTGGGACGGGGCTTGGAGCAGCCTGGTCTAGCGGAAGGTGTCCCTGCTCGTGGTCCTTAAGGTCCCTTCCACGATCCATTCTGTCACAGGTGTGTCTCACCGCGGGGTGAGCGCGGGTACTTACTGCACAGCAGCCCTGCCCACCAGAGCCATTCCCGCAGGTACGCGTGCCCTCCTTGCCCTGAGTGCGGAGGAAAGAGAAAGAGGAAGCCTCCGATGAAGCGACACGGATGAAGTGACACGGATGAAGCGACACACGAGGCTCGCAGGTCGCGATGCCCGGAGCGGCCGTACCTGCCCTGGCGCGGCCGCGGCGGCACAGCCGGAGCAGCCCCTTCTTCTTGAGGACGAAGCTGCCGCCGATGAAGGCGCTGGAGGTCAGGGCCAGCCCCAGCCCCAGGCCGAACCCGGCCCCCATGGCCCCGGCGCCTTCCCCGGCGGGGCGGGGACCGGCCGGGGATGGAGCGGAAGGGGCGGGGACCGGGCTCGGCTTCCGCGGGAACGGGAACGGAGCCTCCGCGGGGTGAGCGCGTCTCCTTTGCCGAGCTGGAGGAGGAGGAGGGATGAGCAAGGGCAAGGACGATGCCCCGCACGAGCTCGAGAGCCAGTTCGTGCTGCGGCTGCCGCCGGTGAGAGCCCGCTCGGTCCCGGCGCGGGTCACGGCGAGCTCAGCCCCGGTTGCCCGGCGAGCGCCGCGTCTGGGGGGAATTGGCGAGTCAGCGGGGGAACTGCGGGTCCGGCCAGGGACGTGGAAGCAGGCTGGAGGCTCTGGGACCGCGGTAGCCCGCTCCCAGTCTTCTGGACGGGTTTTCCACGGCCTCCCTTGGAGAGGAGCTCCTGCCACACAGAGCAGGAGCCTCGGGAGATAACCGAGAGGATTAGGTTGTAGAGACTTAGCAAGTGCTGGCTCTACGGTTGCTGTGGCTGTAAGTCGCCTTGATGATGTTGGTTAGATGCTTGAAGCTGAGACTCTGTCTTGAGTGGTGCCCAGTGACAGGACGAGGAGCAATGGCCATAAAACAAAGCACAAGAAGTTCCACCTCAACGCGAGGAAGAACTTCTTTGCACTGAGGGTGGCAGAGCACTGGAACAGACTGCCCAGGGAGGTCGTGGAGTCTCCCTCTCTGGAGACATTCCAAACCCACCTGGATGCATTCCTGTGTCACCTGCTCCACGTGACCCTGCCTTGGCAGGGAGGTTGGACTGGATGATATCCAGAGGTCCCTTCCAATCCCAACAATTCTGGGATTCTCTGGCTGTCCTGCTGAGACCACAAGGGCTTGGTGCAGGGAGCTGTAACTTCCCCAGCTCTACATTGCTCTGGCAGGTGTGTCTGTCAGGGACCTCACACCGCTGTGTCATGCCAGGGCTTTGGAGAGCACCAGGAGCAGCAGAGTCACAGGACTGACGTGGTGTTGGGAGGAGGGTGCAGTTGTCATCGTGGCTCTTGCAGTTGCCGTTCTGCATGGGGCTGGCACGTGTTTAAATCTGGGTGGGTTGTGCAGAAGCCTTTGGGGATTCTTGGAGGAAGCACACCCTCTCCTGAAGTGTGTCCAACCTTCCCAGGAATATGCCTCCACTGTGCGGCGAGCAGTCCAGTCCGGGAATGTCAACCTGAAGGACAGGCTCACCATTGAGCTGCACGGTGAGTGAGCAGCACCAAGGCATCTTAAACCTCCCCTGGCTGTCTGCAGGTGAAGCTGTGCCACTTGCAGGTGTTGTCCTCTGGAGTTTCTGTGCCCAGGGATGTATTGCCCAGCGTGGCTGTTTAGCCACAGCACTAACCTGTTCCCATGGCTCTCCACAGCGGATGGGCGCCATGGGATTGTCCGTGTGGACCGGGTGCCACTGGCAGCCAAGCTGGTGGATCTGCCCTGCATCATCGAGAGCTTAAAAACCATCGACAAGAAAACCTTCTACAAGACAGCGGATATTTGCCAGGTATGGGCTGTCCTTCTCACCTGCCTCAACAGCTTAATTCCTTGCTCCCCTCCCCAGGAGAACCCTTGCACACTCTGGCAGCTGGACATCCAGTATAACATGGCCAGTTGCTGTATTCTCACAGTATTAGCAGTTTAAAATTCCCCATTCTGCTTGGTGTTTAGAAACCTCATTTCTGGAGCATGAAATACAGTTGTCCTTGTGACAGCTTAACTGCTGATGTGTCCAGCTGAGCTGGGTGTGAAACTGTGTTTCCCACACCCTGTGCCCCTGAATCCCTTTGGCTCACAACATTCAGTGGGCAGATGCTGTTCCTTCACATCCTCGTGTCCTTGCCTTACAATAAACCTTTGTGTTTCTGTGGGGATTCCAGATGCTTGTTTGCACCGTGGATGGCGATCTGTACCCCCCTTTGGAAGAGCAGACTGTGAGCACTGACCCCAAGGCAAACAAGAAGAAGGACAAGGACAGAGAGAAGAAATTCATATGGAACCATGGCAGTGAGTAGAGACTGTGCCAAACCCCTCCAAACTCCTCCACCTCAATACCCCACATCTGTGCAGGGTACTCACAGCTGCCAGGTACTGGCTGTGCTGCTCTCTCTGCTGCTGAAGGGTCTTCTCCCTTCAGACATGCACTTCCCTCATTGGGCCATCTGCATGACACGTGCAATCTGTTTCCTCTGTCACAGTCACTCTTCCCCTGAAAAACGTGCGGAAGAGGCGATTCCGGAAGACAGCTAAGAAGAAGGTGAGTTGCTTCTCACACAGATGCAGGTGCCATACCCAAGGGATAGGAAGGCAGAGACATTAGAGCTGTAACTGTCTATTGGTCCAGAAAACATGGGATTTCTTAACGTTCCTGCACGTGTTTTCTTGCCTGAGATGAGGGCGAAGGGAGGGTAGTAAATTTAAACACTTCTTTGGGTGCTTCCTCCATGTTTTCCAAGATGCTCCTGAGGGGCATCATTGCTGCTGGACTTCATTCCTGTGGCTGCCTTGCCAAAGCACGTCTCCTCCTGCTCACAGAGAGGAAAGGAAGGGAGACTCTCATGGAAATGAGGCTTCACTCATTCCTGCTTTCCCAATCTTCTCTCTCTGCCTGGCCCTTTCCCTTCCCCTACAGGCAGTGCTACAAATAGTACAACTGTCACTTCAGCAGGGGGAGTGACAACAGATGGAGCTCAGAGACTGTCTCTGTGCATATGCACAAGCCAGGCAAGGTGTTGGGGAGATGCAACACCCTGAGGCTGGGAAGACTTGTTCTTCTCTCCTTTGCAGTTTCTGAGAACAGGATGGAGTGTGATTTTGCATGACATTTGGGAAACAAATTACTTGAGATGTTCTTATAGCCCACAGGAGAGAGATCACAGCAGTAAGATTCCTGATTAATTTAAAAGTGAAAAAGTAAACTATCTTTTAAGTGAGATCAGAAGGAGTTGAGCTGACCATCAACACCTCAAGGACTTTCTGCATAGACGTGGACAGTCTTATTTCATAAGTAGTATGAGCAGAAAAACGAGAGCACACAACCCACCAAGGAGCTCTGTACAGAAAAAAGAGGGATTGTTTTAGGGGAGTGCACAAATTACTTCTTGGTTGAGCATAAACAAATGCTGAGGAGAAAGCTCTAAGAAAAGAGAGCCTTGAAACAGGGCCCTGTCCAGAGGTGGAGGGTTGGGATTAACCCGCACCAGCAACATGCACGAGGCATTTAACAGTGTCTCTGTTCTCTTTGCCTTCTCTGGCCCAGTATATTGAGTCTCCTGATGTGGAAAAAGAGGTGAAGCGTCTCCTGAGCACTGATGCCGAAGCTGTCAGTGTCCGTATCCTTTCAGTGGGGAAAAAAGCTCAAGAGTGGGACAGGACACTGTGTGACCTGGGGGTTCTGGAAAGGACAGACAGGTTGAGCTTTGCATGGGTGGGGGAGACTGGGAGATAAGTACACAAGAGGCACTGAATTTTGGGAGCCTCATCTTTGCCATGTTCAAAGCTTATTGTTTCCTCATGGTGATCTTTCTTGTTGTGCTGAGCAGGAACTGTAATAACAGCAGAGGAGAAGTCATCAAAAAAAGGAGTCTGGGGTGTTTCATCCTGGGTATTCTTAGCTACAAGGCCAGACTTGCTGGAGGGGCAGTGATGTCCTGCAGTTTTTAGCATTCTTCCATCATACCACATCTTCCACGTTCCTCTTTTTCCCTTGACTCACCTGTTCCTGCTGTCAGGCTGGGAAGTCATTGCTGAAGATGAAACAAAAGAAGTGGACAACCATGGTTCACTCACCAGCCTGGACATCTCTTCCCCAGGGATGTCGGGACACAAGCAAGGCCACGGCTCCTCAGGTGCAGTGGGGAGGGCTCTTGTTTTCTTCCCATCTACCAAGTGACGGTGGTCCCTGGCAGGCAGAGGGTGCTGGGAGGTCATCAGCTGTGTTTTAACTCTTTTTCCCCCACCTAGAACACGATGAACTGCGGGAGATATTTAATGATATCAGCAGCAGCAGCGAGGATGAAGATGAGAGGGATCATCATGACGACGAAGACCTGAACATCATGGACACTGAGGAAGACTTGGAGAGACAGCTGCAGGACAAGCTGAATGAGTCTGATGGGCAGCAGCAGGAGAATGAGGGGTCCAACCAGATTGGTGAGTAGGTGGCAGAGCACAGCAGAATTGTGTGGATGCCAGGCAGGCTGCACTGCCCAGCTCTGCTGCTGCTCTGGGTGTGAGCTCACTCTCCCTTCCAGCCATGGGGATCCAGAAACAGATTGACAACCTGAAAAGTAAACTCCAGGAGACTCAAGACAGGAGGAAGCGCCAGGAGGATCTCATCATGAAAGTGGAGAACCTGGCCCTCAAGGTGAGAGCTCTTCTGGGGTCTCTTCGAGTCCTCTGCTTAGCACTGGCTTGCCATTAGATCCAGCAGACTGATTTAGCTGCTGCCCTGGAAAAGCCAGGGGCCTTTACATGCTGGATTAAAAATAGTTGTGGTGTGGTCATACACACTCCAGCACTTCCCTGTGGAAGCAAAGCAGTCTGTGGAACTGGAGGAGATAAGGGGGTGTCAGTACAGCTTGGGGCTTGCTGCACTACTTGACGTTTTTCCAGCACCCATTCAGTTGAGATCACATTGCTAACTGTGCTCTGGCATGTTTGTCTCTACAGACTCGTCTCCAGGCTGTCCTGGATGAGTTCAAGCAGCAGGAAGAGCGAGAGAAGCAGCAGGTGAGGAAGCTCCCACAGTGGAGTGGGAAGTACTGGGGCACAACGTGGTTCTAGGCTTGGCCTCTGACAAAGTTTCCCCAGTCCTGTACCACAGCAGCTGCTGAGAACTCCAGTTTTACAGGTCAGGTGGGGTTGTACCTCACCTGTAGTTGCATGGAGCTTCCTGAGGCACAAGGAGATACAGGGAGTGGGTTGAATGAAGCCTTCCTTCTGAAGGAGCAGTGAGCCAAAACATGTCCAGTCAGCAGTCTAAAGCTGCCAGGATTGCTGACACACAAACCCACTGGCATCCATGTACCAGAAAGGCAGTGGCTGTAGACTCTTGGCAGATTTCCTGCCTGGGCAGCTTTGTTCCAGCCAGGTACCAGGGCACGAGGTTTTTTCTCCCAAGTTCCCATGGGCAGTGCCAGTTCTGTTCCAGAGGTGCCCAGGCACAGCTCTGGGCAACACACAGGCAGAGCAGCCACTGGCACGGGTAGAAGATCTGCAGGAACACAGAAATGCTGGGCTGCCCAGAGTCCCAGCCATGCCTGACTGTAATCCTCTCTCCCTCTTCCCAGATGGCATCCCTGCAGGAGCAGCTGGAGTCCCTCATGGAGAAATGAGGAGTGGGCTTAGGTCTTTGTAACTGTGAGCAGAGCTGAAAGTGGTGGTCACCTGCCGTGCTGAAGTCTTTGCTTTACTCACACACTTCTGCTGCCAGAAGTGCTGCTGGTGCTAGAGGTTCCATGTCCAGAGCTGCTTCCACATCCATTGTGCTGGGTTTGGCTGGTGGAGCTGAAGAACTGGACTGTGCCTGTGAGAGCAGCCAAACCACTGGATTTACTGTAAATACTCACTGATCTCCCTGGGACAGCACAGTGTTGGTTTCTGCATCTTATTGAATCTGGGGCTCGATGGGCTGTGGCCTGGTAGGAGCTTGTTCTTGTGTTTGAGGAAACTCTAAAAAAACTCTAATAAAGTACCATTTCCAACCCTGCTCTGTTCCTGTGTGGTCTCTCAAGGGTCTGGCTACACACAGCCCCTGGCAGGGAGCTGTTCCTGGGCACCTCTGGGACACTGCTGGGCTCCTTCCTCAAAATGCTCCATGTGGGGCTGGGTCAAAAGTGACTGTGTGCCATCACTCTGGGGGAGGAACGAGGGCCTCCTGAACAGGGAGTTTCTGTAATTCCTCACAGACTAGGCAGGCAAATCCCAGATTAACCTGACAGGGTGGGAAGAGGATTAGAACGGTGGTTACAGGAGGCAACGGAGGACACCAGGGGCTTCAGCAAGTGTGTGCTACGGCAGGACACCCCTCTCACAACCCAAAGGGCAAGGGAAAGGGAGAAGGCTTCCAAGCACTGCCCCCTGCACAGAAAGGAAAAGGTCAGCAGCAGCCCTGGGAGATGACAGCTGTGTCCAGATAGCCAAGAAAGAGAGATAAACCTGAGGAAGACGTGGAGATCAAGAAGGGTGAGAGCGTGCTTGCGTGCACGTGCCTGTGAGCTGCTCCTGGGGGCTGGTAGGAGCAGCCATGGAGGAAACCTACCTTCTGAATGTGGAAGGGGTCAAAAAGAAGATTCTTCATGGAGGCCATGGAGAGCTGCCAAAGTTGCAGGATGGGAGCAAGGTAAATTGCCTTTGTTTGTTGTTCCCCCAAGGCCTTGGGAGAGGGAGTGGGTCTGACACCACCAGTCCTGCCCCTTACAGTTCATAAGCTGAGCTCCAGGTCTGGAGTACGGCGAGATCCCTCACAAGAGGGTGTAGGAAGGGCTGGTTTGGGCGCAGGCAGCCACATTGCCCATGGCCTCACCTTGCACCGGGCCTGTGACACCTCCTCCCTCTGTCCTGGTGCTATTAGAGCTCAGCAGCCCCCGTGGGTCACTGAAATCTACCTTTCCTGCCTTTCCTCCTCAAGCAGGAGTGAGGTGGGCCAGTGGGTTGTTCTTGGGAGATTCCCCAGACCCTGGGTATGGGCAGATCACTGTGGGTTCCACCAGGTCCTGATGCATACTGCGAGAGCACCCTCTGTACTGGGCTCTCCAAGGGGTATCCACAGGGAGCAGCACAGATGGGCGTTAAGATGCTCCCCCATCTGCCTGCTGTCTTCAGACAAGTGGGCAGCAGTCACAGTCTCCTGCTGCAGCGGGAGAGCTGCCAGTCAAACCAGCACATTGCTGGGAGCAGGCTTGACCCCACAGCTCAGGTCATTGGGACTGCCAAGGAGACTGAACACTGGGCTTTCTCCGGGGCAGTTCACCTTCCACTTCCAGACGCTGAAGGACAACTTTGAGAGGACAGTGATCGATGACAGCCGGGAAGCTGGAATGCCCATGGAGATCATCGTGGGCAAGATGTTCAAGCTGGAAATATGGGAGACGCTGCTCAGCTCCATGAGAATTGGGGAGGTGGCAGAGTTCTGGTGTGACATCATTGTGAGTGAGGGGCCCGTTTCCCTCCTTCCTGCAGAGCCAGGGCACAGGACTGTGCATCCCACAGAGGCTCCAGCTTTGTCTGGTGCAAGCACAGGGGGCACAGGTGTCACTTAGCCACAGGTCACCAGGGGGGCTGCCCCAGAGGAAGGGGCACAGACTTTGCCCATGCACTGAGTGGAGTGCTCCCCCTCCTTGCAGCACACAGGCATGTATGCCCTGGTCTCCAGGGGCATGCGGAGGATCACAGAGGGACGGGACCCCCTGGAAGGGCAGAAGCACCGCTGTGGCATGGGTAACATGTTTGACTACCACAGCACGGGCTATGCTGACCTGGACGAGCTGCAGCGGACGCCGCAGCCCCTCATCTTCATCATGGAGCTGTTCCGGGTAAGGGGGATGGAGGGGCGGCTGCCAGAGCAGGAAAGGCCTGGACAGGTAGCTCAACTCCTGCTGCCCATGCAGGTGGAGGAGCCCTCAGCATACAAGCGTGACACCTGGGCCATGAACAAGGAGGAGAAGCTGGCAGCAGTGCCTGTGCTGCACAGTGAGGGCAATCGCCTCGTCCTCCGCAGGGAGTTCGCGCAGGCGGCCGCCAAGTACCAGGAGGCTGTGATCTGCCTGAGGAACCTGCAGGCCAAGGTGAGCAGGACCAGTCGCCTCCTGACAACCCTACCTGGGTCGTGCCTCAGAGCGCTTCCCTGCGGGTCTTGGGTGCCTGGGAGGGGATGGCCACAGCCCTGAAGCACCCGCTGTTTCTCCCCGGGGCAGGAGAAGCCGTGGGAGGATGACTGGCTGAAGCTGGAGAGCCTGGTCACACCGCTGGTGCTCAACTACTGCCAGTGCCAGCTGGAGCTTGGCGAGTACTATGAGGTGCTGGAGCACACGACAGAGCTTCTCCAGAAGCACAACGGTACCTGTGCCCTGCATCCCACCCCCTGCTCCCGGGGACTCTGTCCTCTGGATCCCCCATCCGTGGCAATGCTCATCCCATGTCCCTCTCCCTGTGATAGTACCTATGTCACCTGGATCCCCGTATCCACTGCAGAACCCAGTTTCCCCTGCCTGTGACAGTGCCCACGACCCTGCTTTTCCCTGCCCACAGTGGCACCCCTAGGTCCCACCACCAACACCACCACACCACTTTTCCCCTTTCCATGATGATACCTGCACCCCCTGTGCCCTGCTGCCCAGGTGTCCCTGCCCTCCCTTACAGGTGTGTTCACCCCACATCCCCCTGCTCCTCGTGCCTCATGTTCCTTGGTTCCCAGGGTCTCCAGCTCCCGTGGCTGGTGGTCCTGAGCTGAAGGACCCCCACTGGGGGCTCTTCTCTCTTGGCAGACAATGCCAAGGCCTATTTCAAGCGGGCAAAGGCCCATGCTGCAGTCTGGAATGAGCGGGAGGCGCGGGAGGACTTTATGCGCGTGGCTCACCTCGACCCCTCCATGGCGGCCGCCGTGAAGAAGGAGCTGAAGCAGCTGGGGGAGAGGATGAGGAAGAAGCACGTGGAGGATCGGAAGCGCTACCAGGGACTCTTCCAGTCGCCCCAGGGTCGGCGGGCCAGCAAGGGGAGGGAGAGCAGGGAGGCGGGTGACGGGGCACCTCAGGGGGAGGTTGGGGTTCAGGAGAGCCCTGGGCAGGGGGAGCGGGATGGAGGGACCCAAGGAACAGAACAACCAGGGGCTGCCCGAGCAGATCAAGGGACCCCCAGGGCTGAGGGTGAAGGGGTGGCACCAGAAGGAGAAGCAGCTCAGGGACACCCTGCAGGGGCAGAGGTGGAAGCGAGGGATCAGACAGGACTGGGGGAAGAAGTAAAGCTGGGCACCTGTGGGGCAAAGCCAGAGAGCCTGGGAACAGAGGAGGAAGATGAGAAAGAGGAGGAGGGAGAAGAGGAAGAAGAGGAGGGGGAGGAGGTAGAAAAGGAAAAAGGAAAGGAAGAAGAAGAGGAAGAAGAAAAGGAAGAAGAAGAGGAAGAAG